TTGCGGTTACACAATAAATTAAAATATACTATTGTTTCCACATTCTACTTGAAATCAGGAGAAATCTACTTTCATCAGAATCAGTATTTTACCACTTCAAGTGGTATGTACATATCTTGTTATCATATAGATCTCCCTACAGTCTCTCTTTTATGTGGTATTTAACTTATACATTACATATATCTACATCGAAAAATCTTATGAGAAAATGTTATATTTTGCTTTCAAGAGATTGTATGTTGAATGTTTTAAATATTTTGTTATGCAATTCTGAGTCTTGTTGAAATCCTATGTAGAATGTTATTTTTGTTTTGGCAAGTAATTGACCCAGTGGGAATAAGGTCCCAAACTTTAATCAGCCTGTGGTTTCAATGTCAGTTCTAATTCACTGCCTTTCATTCCTACTTAGACCTACCCCATCCATGTGTACACCTTCCAGTGGCCAGTTTGGGACTCAGGAAGTGTTCTATCCTACAGTTCCATTCTCAGAGTTTAAGATGTATCATTTAGGGTGATAGTCATACATGCACAGCTTGGGTTGAACCCTGGAGTTTACAAACAGCTTTATGGGTTTTCCTGAGCTCTTCTCTGCCATCTGCACAACACTTTTGGGATCCACAGGCCTTTTCTCACCCTCTGTGCAGTTTTCCTGCCAAAGCATTGAGGCTTTATTTACCCTAGTCTGCAGTGAACTTCTCACAATTGCTTTCATCTGCATAACCCAATGGTAAGATGACAGAAAGAGAGAAGAAAATCAATAGAGGCTTACCACACTCCTGGGACCATAGCTCCTTACATCAGAGTGGACAATTTCCCTTCCTCAGAGATGTAGGCTCTTGAGGTCTCTATTGCCACTGTTCCCACCACAGTATTTCTTAGGGACTGAGCAGTGAAAGAACACAGGAAAGAAAATACATGAGAGTTAGGAAAACCCTTCCCTAGTCTTTAAGCTAGAACTAGAATGCTTCCTCTGAACCACTTTCTGTTAATGATGTCAACTTCTGGGTTTCAAACTGTACTGAGTCTAAGTTAGTAGATGCTAGAGGAGAATAAAATTGTGGAATTTTTAATTCTTGTCTTCTGCAATCTTTCTGCTTTTATTTACTTTTTAGAAATCTGAAATTGATTTCCGTATGCATGTTATCTGGGTTTTGTGTCTGAAATAAGAGGAAGAGATGGGATAATGTGTGTTTACTCCATCTTACCTGGAATTACAACATGGAAAACACAGATATTAAAAACTAAAAGAGACAAGGAAAGCTCTGAGAACTGCCTATGTTATGGTATAGCATCAGTAAGGAGTATTCCATGGTGTGTATCAGGAATAGGCTGGCCATCACCCAAACTAGGATAGTTCCAGAATGAAAGAGAACACCATTATAACTATACTGGACAACAGCTGTAAACTAGGAACCAGAACACATGGCCACCTTATTCCAAGTGTGATGGTAAAATAATACTTTTTCACTAATTGTATTCCACTGTCTCCAATTGTTAGATTAAAATCACTCTCCTATATGTGGAAAATTTGTTTTGGTTATCTGCTTTGTTTTAGTTAATTTACATGTAAGAAATATAAATAACCCTTTGTCCTGAATGTTAAATTTATCATCTTCAGGGTATCTACTAACCTGGAAAGAGTATGTCCTGTAAATATCAGAGCTAGATATTTCTTCTTTTGTATATCTACAAACTTGAGGTTCAGTTTCATTTTCTATAAAACTAAAGACAAAAGTCCAGACCTCTGGATAGTGCGGTTACAGTAGTGTCTATCTTAGAATAAGATAAACCTGGGTGAACTGTCCAAAAGAAATGTCTGAGCCTTAGATCTCAGAGAGCATCTGGCAGAAAAGCCAGGGATCCTGGCCATCACCAAAACATAAAGGCACAATGACAGTGTGGGTTCCTCCCCGCTGACACCCTGCAATGATCCTGCCCATCAGAAACTTCCTCCAGGAATAATTTATACCCTTTAACTCATCGTTAAATCTATCACTGAAATTTCCAACAAGGATGTTACTTGGTGCCAAAGCCACAATGGTTTTTATGATGTGGGTACCTCTGCGAAGAATGAGCTGAAGAGCATTTCACACAGGCACCAAAAGGGGCCAGATGACCATGACTTTTAGCCAGTCTGAACTTGATTACATTGGATGGATGTGACTCATTATATACAAGTGAGTACAGAAATTGCTTTTCTTTATTGCTGAAATGATGAATCACTCTATTCCATCAGGGAGGATAGAGCATGAGGGTTTGATATCCATGTAGGACTAGACCACTATTTTAAATGCAGGCTGAACTCTTGAAATGAAAACAAAATTGTGAGAATGGAAATAGCCTTGTTGATTGGGAACAACTACTTAGCCCTTCAGCCCATCACTCCATTACTTAGGAGAACTTAAACTGAGACCACTAGGTCAGGAAGCACACAGAACAAAAGCCATTCTCAGTAGCACATGGCTCAGCCCTGTTCAAGCTCCACCACTGCTGCTTTTTAACCAGTCCAGACTTTCAATGCTTGGCTACTGATTCTTGCTACTCCCTCTCTACTTTGTATGGAACTGCCCATATATTCCTTGTCCTCACTGGTCTAATAATGTTGGCCCAATAGGCTATTTCTAGCAGCCCAGGGTAAGGTTGTATGCATTATGTGCAGAACAAAGGTCTCTGACCAACAGCACAAGGAGAAACTAAAATTAATCCTACACTTCTCCCCAAGTCTATATTCTGGCACAGACTGCATGGGCCCAAAGGAAAGAGCTCCTTCCACCCTGAGCAGGCACCTCCCATTGGGATACACTAGAAACTAACAATGGCCTTGTCTATCCCGTGTCCCATTGGTCTCTACCTTTGATACTTCCTGTGCTCCAAAGTTGATGGGAAAACATGGAGTAAAAATTGTCTTCTCTACGGAAATGATTTAGACAGAGTTGAAATCACTGGTTTCTAGGAAAATAATATTTATTTGAAGATAAATATACGTAAAGTCATATGTACAATACAGGATAGATGTCTCAGTCATACCCACAGAGCTGCATCTGCTGATTCTGCTCAGACCACTAGGAAGATCTTGCAGGTGTCATGTGCCGAATGTAGGCAAAGTCTAGAGGATTTGCTCTCCCTTTGTCCAGTTCAGGAAATCAAAGGCTCCAAACCACAGCCTCAATCTCATTCCAGTGTCTGTCAGGCTTGTTTGCGGCTAGCAGGAAACGATTTCAATTTCCTACTGGCCTGATCCACACTGTGTGTCCTGTCCAGCAATAATCTCCATCTGTGAGACTGGAGGGGAGGTAGGTCCAGGGCTGGCTCCACCATTGCCTGAGCTGGGAGCTCCTCCCAGTGGCTGCTATTTTACTGAGTCCTTTCCAAGTTGAGAAACCTTGGGATAATTCTGAGCTGGTTCCACGAGAATCCCTTAGAGTTTTTCACAGGCATGTGGTAGTGCATTTCAGTCCAGAACCTGGAATTGGGAGGGACTGACTTTAAGCCTTTCCAGGTAACAGTGGGCAAAACCCTGAGAGCTTTTTTCACAAGATAAGGTAGAGACTCTGGCTCTTGGAAGGAAGAGAACTTAATTAAAATGAGTTTCAGTGTTTGATCAGCCAAGGCAAGATTCACGGCTGCTTGTAATTCAAAGACACAAGGTCCATTGATGTAGTTGGGGCTCAAGATAAATATTCCTCTTCTACTTTTCTGAATAACATCTATGATGTCTTCTGCATACACTGGAAATAAAGAATTTAAATACTTTCAATTGAAATTGTTAGAAATTGAGTAACAATAAGCTTGAATCTCTCAGATATGACCAGAGAGTTCATTGCAATGGATACTCTTAGGAGAGGAGGAAAGGAGACATGTTTACATCATCACTTTTAATATATCAACTCTATTTATAGTTGAAGATACACTCTAGTGTCTAGTGCAGGTGTCCTCAAACTGAGGCCCAGGGGCCACATGCGACCTGCCGAGGACATTTATCTGGCCCGCCGGGTGTTTTTCCCGCTGCTGCCTGTCCTGCTTAGCAGTCGACTTGTCCTAGGGCCTGCAGTCCGGCCCTGCAACGGTCTGAGGGACAGTGAACTGGCCCCCTGTTTAAAAAGTTTGAGGACCCCTGGTCTAGTGACTTTTAATTTTACATTCCTTCCTTTGGGTTCTAACTCTCCAAATTGTCTAGAAGCAGAGCACATTGGAATGAGGTAAAATCAGGATGAGACTGGAATGTTTTGGGCTCCTTATGGGGAGTGTCTTAGGACAGGGAGGCCATAGGACAGCCAAGGTTTGGACATCTGCTGGGCCCACACCTGAGGAGCCTCATTAAACCACACTGAGGTTTGTGAGGGGCAGAGTCCCATAAATCCAGGGAACCACCTGTTTAGGATGACAAAGACACCTTCCAACTACAAAGGCAGGAAAGATATCATTGTTCTGGAAGGGCCCCATATTATTACATTCTTCTGAAGATAGATTTTTTTTTCATGATAATACAGGTCACTCGAAATACATGGTTTTCTATGTTGTTGCCCAAGATGTTCTATGTTCATGAAATTGCACAAAAGGTGTATATCCCAAAAGACAGAATGACCGAAAACAGTAGGTGGAGCTTGCTTAACTACCCTTTTTGTTCTGTAGTTTTCTCGTGGCAAGTAGGACTTACCTCCTCCTGGGGCCACATCTCTTTCAAGCAAACACAAGGTATATCCATATTTGTTTTCTAAAACCTCAGGGAAAAGATTCAGGGCCAAATATTCTTCACTCACAGATGAGGCAGACTCGCTCTCAAAAGAGCTCCATTTTGCATAGGATATGAAAGCATCAAATTCCTTTTTATCTGAGGAACAGAAAAAACCAAAAAATATAAGCCATTTGCTTTTTTTTTTTTTTAACTATCATGGTACGCATACATATACTTGAAATGCATGATAAATGGATAAGAAATAAGATCTAAGATCCTTACAAAATTGATTTTAAAAAATTAACAACAGCAGCTACGCCCATTTCAAAACCACGCCACTGAGTGGTATTGACTGTCCACCCTCAATCGAATTCTAATTTATGAAGTACTCTTGCATTGCCACTGAGGTTAGATCAAACAGCTGGGGCCTTCTGTGATTAAATCTCGTGCACTGGGGAGTTCCTCGGAGGCGTCTTTGCATCTGCAGTGTTTCTGTCTCATCACTTACACATCAAAGAGGAGTTTGCTCAAAGAGTGATAAGATACAGCAAGCTCAGTACTAACACCCAGCACATTTCATCTCATAGGAGGAACAAAATACCTCCTTGGAGAGTTGGCAGCACATGCACCTAGAGATGAACCCCCCATTTGTAAAATGAGGGTGACATTAGCTTCCCAACAGGCTGTTTGGAGGGCTGTGTGAGGTACCGTACCTGAGGAGCTCAGGGTCTGGCTCACAGCAGGCACGAGATAAATGGCCATTCCCTCCCCTTCTAATGGGAAACTGTATTTAGAGACTTTGTTGTCGGGTGTCTGAAAGACTTCAGATGCTTCTGTTGACTACAGTAATACATAGTCACATTGATTAGTGGGACATGCTAAAGAGCGGCCCCGAAGGAGAAAAATCCCCAAAGTTAACTCACTTGACTCAGCTTTGAAATGAGACACCTAGGGTTCACACCTCAGCAGTTGCCGCAATCCCTGTTAAATAGTGTTGTTACAAAATGGTAAATAATAGCGCTGGGTGGCTGATGATATTTAGCAGCACACCTGCTCAAGGTGGAGCTAAACAGAGGCCTCAGTGGATGGAAGTGCAGCTACCCGGGGGGGAAGGTCCAAAAGTCAAGAGAGAAGGATGGATGCCCAAGAGCCAAGGTGAGGGTGGGAGCTAATTTGTGGACACAGCTCATGTACGGGTACAGGGGAGGAACTCAAGGGGTGTGGCTGGCAGGTAGGTGCCCTGCAGGGCCAATGTGTCACACACACCAGAGTTGTGTATAATCACCTCCATATCATAAGAAGCACCAACAAGCTAGAATTTTTCTATAATTTGGAAACTACATGTATTTAGTCATAAAATTAGATAGTGGGGTTATTAGACATCCTCCTTGGTCCTCCCCAATTCTCAAACTAATATGATTCTCTAAAAGTTTAGACATATGACATTAACCTCAAAGTAATCATTTTGCTGAAAAACATAAGATTGTCCAGCAGAGGGCACCACACGACTATGCTTAAAAACGAAGATCCCATCACTGTCTTTGTTATTATTATTATTTTCTTTTATAATAATACAAAGCGCTGGGTCTTTTATTAACTCATATATAATTACTTGTCTTCTGGTTTGTTAAACAGTCATCTGAAGAACACTTAAACGAAGGCTACTTATTTTGACATTTTCATCCACCTTATATTATTTCAAAACAGCCAGATTAACCTTCTCTCCCTTACACTTATTCTTCTTGGGAGTGGTATAACACTTCTTCCTTTCTTTAGCACCATCATGAAGTCTTATCACAAGATGAAGAGTGGCCTCCCTTTGAATGTTGTAGTCAGACAAAGTACATCCAGTTGCTGACCAGCAAAAAGGAGTCTTTGCTGATCAGCAGAATTTATTTCCTTATCCCGGAGCTTGGCCTTTATAGTTCATAAAATCCCTTATGGGGTAGACCATGACATCCAAAGCTGAATCTCAGATACCATAGAAAATGGAACGGCTGAGATTCAGCATAAGGAAGGAATTCTGCCTGATCAGCAAACACTATTTAGTCTTTGAGACAAGAAAGGACATGTGGAAATATTTGACTCTTCACTGAGTCTTGTACGAAAGCTCTAGAAGCTTAAGATAAATAGAATTTCAGTAAAGGACATATGAAATCACCTAGGGAAGTGATTAAGACGTGGATTGGCTCCATTCTAAAAAGACAATTATAAAAAAAATCCTAAAAACATGTTTGGCCAAAGAATTTCTAGCATAAATTCTCAATAATTAGTCTAAAGAAAGATGTAACTGATGCCTTTCTTTACTTATCATTTCTCCAGGGATCTGACAACTCCTCACTGAATTCCTAGTGTGGCTTTTGCTTTGGGGTTTGGAAAGGCCTCCCAGTGACATAAATAATTACCCCTGCAAGGCCACAGAAGGGGATTCTGCTCTTTCCAAGCAACAGGATCATTTAGTAGAACTGCAAACATTCTAACCCAGGATTAGAAAAGGATGGAAGCAGCCCTTCTTTTCTACAGATGTGAACCTGAATGAACATGATGATCTTGTCTCCTGAGAAAATCGATGGATATTTCCTCAGCAGTACTTGGATTTTATTATTAAAGGACATCCCACTTTAAAGAGCATTTCCACCATCTTAAAGCTTATCATTTTCCAGATGAAGCTAACCAAGGGATTAGCTAATGGGAACTCCTGGACTAGATAGCCTGTGTCTGAATCTGAAACTCTATGGCCTCACAGTGTTTCAATTTGGGACACATGACTTTATCCGTGTCTGCTTGTCTGACTGGTTTGTTGTGAAAATTAAAATAGCTACCAGCCATAATTGGTATATACTCCTGTCCTCAAGAAAACAGCTATAGCTGGCACATCCTGGGTGTTTACCCCGTACTAAGCATCATTCCAAATGCTTAATGTGTCTTCATAATATGGTAGTGAGTCCTCACATCCTGCTTTGTGATTGGTGCTATTACCATTTTATTGTATAGATGCAGAAACTAAAGTACAGAGACGTTAAGTGATTTGCCATCTTGCCTTAGGTTGGTTAGCAAAGAGATTGTTTTCACATCCACCATGTCTCCCCACAGCATTGTGTTAAGATTCCTGGTAACAGGATTGAAAATATAAAAAACTCATTGTTTCTCCTGCCTCTCCCAGTGTGAAGCTACTAAAGTTGGAGAAAGGTCTTGAACCCCCAGAGTCATGACCCTTTCTTGAGGTCTTTTCACAATCTTTGCCCCGGCTGTCAGGAGGCATCAAAATTTCTTTCCAAAGATAACTGAGGAAACAAAGGCAAGAGGTAGTGATGGATTCTTGTCCTGCTCTATGTCAATTAGGAGGAGAAGAGTCAGAGGTCACATGTTGGGATGTTCTTACCCCCAAGCGTCTCGTCCTTACTCTGGTAGGTTCGGAAGAGCAGCACTATTTCAATCCAACGCTGGTAAAGGAGCACACTCACTGCCAGCACGCCCACCAGGGTCACGACAGTGCCGAGCAGGACATACAGGAGCAGCACTGGGGAAAGATGCCACCATGAGCAAGTGCAGGGGCAGCACTCCTGGGCCAAGGCCACGCAGACCAACACTATAGCTGCCCAGTACCCTTTCTAGCCCATTATTTTATGAAAGTCACTGGCACTGGCAGCAGTTCTTTCCAAGATGGAACTTTTTTAAATCATGTCTTGAGAGCTTTCTTATAATAAACTCTAGATCCAGGAGAAAGGGCAATTCCTGATTGGTATGATCTAGGAAACACATTGTAGCAATTTTATTTATTTTTCCCCTATAAGCCTCCACATGTTTCTACCTCTCACACTGTATACTGTGAACTAATTTCATATATTATCATCCCCTCAATAAAGTTTAAACTTCCTGAGACCTGGAGTCATGTCTGGCTGACCTTGGCGCACTCCCTCACACCTAACACAGGGCTGTCCTTCGCACCTCCAGTGAGGAGAGCCACCATTGTAGGCCAGAAGCGAACTTTGTCTGGCTGAACCTGCACACACATTCAAACCTGCTTGTACTGTGGTCATCTATTAACTGAATGAATGAATGAGGGAATGGGATCAACCTCATCTCCAGGTATCTTCTTAAAGAAACTTAACAGCTATTTCTCACCTGGAATTTCTACTCTAGCTTTTTAAAAGGCTGTAATCTGTGCTATACACATGTTATTCTGAACACTGAGCAAGATGACTCTTTCTCTCCTCCATTCTCCAACCATCAGGACATGAATCCAAACTGTCCTCTGGATTTGGAGGCCAGGAAAGGAAAATAGGAAAAGGAGCTGGGTCTTAGCACGAATACCCTGTAGGTATTTGTGGAATGAATGAATAAATGAATGAATGAATGAATGGCTTTTCCAACACAGCCCCCATAGGAATAGTATTAGTTAAGAGGGCCAGTTCTAGACCACTAGTATATAATTTACTTGATGTGTGGCTTTGGTCAAACTACTAAGTGGGTTAACAGAAAGTGCTTAGAACAATGTCTGGCACTAGAGAGTGTTCATTTGTATTACTATTATTACTATTCTTTAGAAAAGTTCCTCCCATCTCAAGTAAAAGCTGTTGCATACATTCTGGGTGACCTTCCAGGCATACCTCCTCTCTTCTCCTTAAGTTGGATGGACCAGGTGCTATTCCCCAAGGAGTTCTGAGCAAAGCAAACAAACTTCTTGCGAAGATCACTTTGAGTAACTTTCTTCAAAATGACATCACACTCAAAGACTTCATCCTCTAGAGTGGATCTAATTCTAGGAAAAGAGAAAAAAATGCCACACCCATTCAGTTACATAAAACGACACCCATTTGCAGCATCTGGAATGCCGCTAAGCAGCCAATAGTTTGGCTTTAGAAGAACTGTGAGATCAATAGTATAAGAAGATCCAGAAAAATATAAGATGGTCAAAGAGGGATCATTCTTAATTAAATTGCTGGCTCTATCAAGCATTTATACTAAGACTTAATTTACTTGAAGGCCTAATCTGACCTTCTAAGAATTCCCCCACGAGAACAGATAATGACATTACTGTAAGAACAGTATTAAAACTGACTAACTCTTACTGAAGGTTTACTATATACCGGGAACTCTTCTGAGCAGCAAATATGGATTCTCTAATCTCTATTCCTCATCTCCCAGGAACCCTACAAAGTAATAATATGATCATCCTAACTGGGCCAGTGACATGAAAAAGGCAAAGAAGGTAGGTGAGCACCCCCAGGTCCCATTGCCAGGGAATAGCAGCCCGCCTTCTGGGCCTGTGCTCTTCTGCCGATCCAGAGAGTTGTGAGTCTTGGCATTTTTTTACGATTTTGCTGATCTATGATCTCCGTTCTTGTTAAGAAACCTTAGTTAGGAGGCTGGTATTTTAAGCTAGGATGCTCTGAGCCTATAATGCCAGCTGTTATTCACCAAGTGCTTCCTACTTGCCATAGACTGTGATAAGCATATAACCTCTCCTGTGTCTGCCCTTATGGTGATCTGGCAATGTGGAGGTTATCACCCATGGGGGTAGGGATGAGGTGGAGGTGATGAGGTCTCACAGAGGCTAAGGTCACATTGCCCACACATGGAAAAGAAACTCAAACCTGAGAGTGGGTGATTTTAAAAGGATACTCTCTTTGCCATACTCTCCTACTCTCAACTGTAACATAATGCCAGGTTAAGATGGGCCTCAATGACTTCACTGAACTTCAAAATTCTTGCTAAATTTTATTGTTGTCTCCAAAATTTGTCCTTCCTTTTTTGTAATGATATTTTAAAACGTGTCACCTGTGTTTATTGAAAAATGAGAGAATGAATCCCAACCTGTCTGATTGGGCATGATTGGATTCAAGCCCTGTGACACTTCCATGGGCTGGAGACCAACTTCCTAAGACATTGGTTATCTCTGAATGTCTTGAATATCGAGAGAGTTTTCCTTTCTGTTGACCAAAACCATTTACCAGTAATTTCTGACCACTGATCTGGGTTGTGTGCTCCAGGGAGCAACAAACTTAAGTGTAATTTCTTTTTTTTTGAGACAGTCTCACTCTGTTGCCTAGACTGGAGTGCCCTGGTATCAGTCTAGTTCACAGCAACCTCAAACTCTTGGGTTCAAGCAATCCCCATGCCTCAGCCTCCAATTTCTTATAAAAAATAAATAACCTACAAGTATTTCTAGACAGAAAGCCAACTTCTGAGTCTCCCTTTTGAAGTTGCTTCATTTGTACCTACTCACTTCACACATTTTTTTTTT